AATAAATTACCAGAATGTCCATAATTCTTTCCCCCCTCCCTACCTCCACACCCTTGGCAATATTCCTCCGATCAAGAGGTGCAGTCTGTTTTCCATCCCTTCAGTCTGGTGTGGTATGGTCTGTGACTTGCTTCGACCAAAAGACTGAAGCAGAAGTGACACTTCTGTGACCTTGCAACTTCTGTTCTCTCTCCACACTGCCCCTCTCATGTGAACAAGCCAGACCAGCCTCCTGGAGAACAAGAGACCACGTGGAGGAGGGTGGAGGTGGCCAGGCGACAGTCAGCTGACCCCAGCAGCAGATTCCCCTAGCCAGCCTGCTGCTGATCTCAAATGCAGGAGCAATCCCAGCCAAAACCAACTGAGATGAGAAGAACCATGGAGCTGAGCCCAGGCAGAATTGTCAACCCACAGAATCACCAGTCAAATAAATGGTGATTGTTTTAAGCCATTACATTGGAGGGGGTGTTTGTTACACGGCAATAGCTAACCAATACAATACCTTACCTATTAAAATAAATAAAATTCATTTTAAGTAGCTCTTGAGAAGAAAAGAAATAGCTGAGAAAGGAATCCAGGCAGATGTGTGTGCAGGTGATTTAGAAGTTCCCCTGGGAGGATGACAGGGAGGGGTTGGGGGTCTGGCAGAATTTTCTAGGCCTGTGGTCAGTTCAAAGAGTCTCCAAAATATGGGTCTCCTAAACAGGAGAACAAGTAGAAGGAGCAATGGGATTTAGAAGACAGGGCCAGCCACACCTCAGCAGACCCAGTACAAAGTGTTCAGGGACCAGGCCAGACCAACCTCCCCATGGCACACACCAGGCCCTGAGACAGGACTCAGAACAAAGGCCTACCATCCTGCCAGGAAAGAAACTTCAGCCTCCTCTGCACCCAGGACCACCTGAAGTAGGAAGGAGGGAGGGGAGCATTGAAAGCTTGAGCGTTTTTGGTTTTTGTTTTGGGTTTGTTTGTTTGTTTGTTTGTTTTGGGGAAAAAACTGAGTTAACCTAAAAGAGAATGATTGCACCATATACAATGCTCACTCTACCTCATACGTGCAACCATATTTTTATTCCTGTTTTACAGATAGGAAACTGAGGCACAAAGTGTTCAAATGATAGTCATGATTGGATAAAGCCAAGATTTGAGCCCAGATGGTGCCGCTAAAGACACTGACAGAACCTGGAAGAGTCTGGGATTGCTTTAATTGGCAAACGTAAGTAAGCTTTTCCTTTCTGAGAGCCAGGATGATAGGGGCTCCCAAGGAAGTTACAGAAAATTAAGATGCCACAAACACAAATTTTTATATGCTCTAGGTGTGTTACATTTGGACCCCAGGAAATAGAGGTTTTAAGAGTTGCCCACTCTTATACTTTTAGGAATGGGGTCTGTGCCTTCACCACACTGCCAAAAGGAGGCCTCATGGGGCTTGCTTTATAATAAATCCTTCTTCTTAAGCAAATGCCACCTTCTCTATTTCCTGCATATCATGAATAATGATGGCTGATGTGTTCAGCATTTCCATTGTGCAGAGCCCTCACCCACATATCTTATAATCCTTGCAACACCTTTCTGAGGAGGGGATTACTACCGTCCCCATTCTGCAGATGAAGAAACAAAGGCTCAGAGGTGGCAAGGGAGTTTGAAAGGTCACACAACCCAGAAGAGGCAGACCCCAATACTTGATCCCTAAGTCTGGCTGACTTGGACACACGCTAGGATGGGCATGCTCATCATCCTTCCAGGGTGCCCAGCACAGGGCCTATGGCAAGGGGTCCTGGGATCGGGCCCGCATCGGGCTCCCTGCTCAGCGGAGAGCCTGCTTCTCCCTCTCCCACTCCCCCTGCTTGTGTTCCCTCTCTCTCTCTCTGTCAAATAAATAAATAAAATCTTAAAAAGAAAAATAAAGTGTTTTCTTGTAGGCAACAGATAGTTAGGTCTTACTTTTTTAACCAATCCAACAATCTCTAATTTTTACATGGGGTATTCAGACCATTTACATTCAAAGTGACTTTTTATAGGATTAGGTTTAGATCTTATTACTTTCCTATTTGTCTTACTTGTTCTTTGTTCCCTTTTTCCCTTTTTCTGTCTTCTTTTGATTGTAGAATATTTTTATAATCCTATTTTGTCCCCTTCATTGGCTTATTAGCTATAACTCTTCATTTTGTTGTTTAGTGGTTGCTTTAAGGTTTATAGTATACATCTGTAATTTAACACCATCTACCTTTAAATGACAGCATACCATTTAGCATACAGTATAGAAAACTTTTGAAGGTATCCTAGTGTTCCCCCCGCCCAAGTCTTTATTCTGTTGTTTTCAGAACTTTACTTAAACACGTGTCAAAGCCTCACAATAGAATGTTATTTGTTTTTATCATTTCAGGGCCTTGCTGTTCAGATTTGCTAGATGAGACCAGAGCACTTCTTTCTGAGTACTCTCTTCTGTGTGTTCTACCCATTGCTCTGTCAATCATGAGGTTTTCCAGTTTGGCTGGTGGGAACAGGCACTATTCTCAGCCCTGTGTGAGCGGAGGGCATTTTCAGTGCATGTGTGCGAGGTGCGAGGAAACTACCCGAGGCCAGGGAACAAACCAACAGAAAGGATTAGAGAGAACAGATCTGACTGGCTCACATCGTGGTGTGTGAGGGTGGATGCTGCTGAACTTCTCAGAACTAAGGACAAAAGCAATCCTTAGGACTGAACATGAGGTATAACTTAGTCACAACTGTGAGGCGGTTCTTAGAGAAGCTACTAGCACATGCCTAGCCAAGGACGGGCAGGAAAGGAATTTAGAATTCCACATCCCCTCCCCAGATCCTCTTAGAAGGGAACGTCTGCCTCACCTCCCTATTCCCACACCTCACTTGCAACTAAGAAACACCATGGTATCCTGCAAACTTAGGTCTTGGAGTGAGACGGAGTCATCCACCAGGCCTGATGGTCACATACACCAGAGGAAAGTTGGGGCACAAAGCTGATGACCTATGTTGAGCAGAACCTTAAGTCATCTGACCTGAGTCCAAATCCTGGTCATGATGCCGACTGAATATATGGCCCCTTCATGTTCCTTCCCTTTTCAATTTTCTCATCTGAAAAATGGAGGTAACAATAATACCTACCTCGGGGAGTTCTTGAGGGGAGCACCTGAGATGATGTTCATAACCCAGGTGTGAAAGAACTTGCATGGGAGGCCTTGGCCCTCTTTCTCCATGCCCATTTTGAGGCCAAACGCAGTTCAACCCCCAAAATAGACCCACTACCCAACACACCAATAAGCATTGCAGTTTGGCAAAGAATTCACACAAGACACCTGAAAATAATATAATATTACATGGCAACTCTACTTCAAATTTAAAAAAAAGTTTTTAAAGTTATACAATTGTATACAGTACATAAAATTTCTGGTATTTACTGTATGTAAATAATGCCTCAATAAGGTAGTTTTTTTAAAAAAAGAATTCACGGGGGGGCCCTGGATGGCTCAGTTGGTAGAGAATGTGACTCTTGATCTCAGGGTTGTGAGTGCAAACCCCATGTTGGGCATACAGATTCCTTAAAAATAAAAAAAAAAATTAAAATTTTAAACAGAATTCACAGGAAACAGGGAGAATGTTTACACTGAACACCACGGCACATACATTTTGTGTGATACATTTGAGGGCTAAGAGCAGGGGCTCCAGAAACAGACTGTCACATTCTTACTGGATGAGGTATTAGTTTAGGTGGCCATAACAAAGTGCCACAGACTGGTGGTTTAAACAGCAGAAATGTATTTTCTCTTACTTCTGGAGGCTAGAAGTTTAGGTGAAGGTATCAGCAGTGTTGGTTTCTTCTGAGGCTTCTCTCCTTGGCTTGCAGATGGCCGCCTTCTCCCCCTGCCTCCACGTGGGCCTCCCTCTATGTGAGTCTGTGTCTTCATCTTCTTTTCTTATAAGGATGCCAGTCATATTGGATTAGGGTCCACCTTCATGCTCTCATTTTAACTGAATTGCTTCTTTAAAGACCCCGTCTCCAAATGCAGCCACATTCAGAGGTACTGGGGGTTAAGACTCCAACATATGAATTTGGCCAGGGAGACACAATTTAGCCCATAAATAGTGATCTTGGGAAACTTACCTAATCGTCCAGGCTCTCGGTGTCTTCTATGAGGATAGGAATAAGGCCACCCACGTCACAGGAGGATTGGGAAGAATAAATGGTAATACATGCAGGGCTTGGGACATGGTGGGCACTTGAGCGCCATCTATAATTTGTAAGTTCTCCATCCAATAGCTCTGTCCAGCCTCTCGAGCCAACCTCCCCATCTTTTGCACTTCCTCCGCCAACAACATCCCTCCAGCATCCTGAGCAATTGTTCTTGGCCAGCTAATGACTAGATTGGGTCAAGCTCAGCTCTGAGGGCTCCAGGGCCTTCCTGCTCAGCACAAAGCTTCTCTTCCTCTGTTGTAGGAGCCTCTGAGCCGAGCAATGGGAGTGAGCGGCAGGTGCTGCAGCCCGAGGGCCCCATGCTGGTGGCAGAAGGTAACACACTCCCACTGTGGTGTTCAGTGGACAGCTCCTACACTGGTGACATGATTAAATGGGTCAAGGTGAGCCAACAGCTCCAGGAGATTTATAACTTCAAACACGGCTTCTTTCCTGGGGTGACGCCCAGCAGACACTGGAGCCACGTAGTTGTGACTACTCCATCTATATCCACAATGTCACCAGCAAGGGTGCTGGAAGCTGCCACTGTGTGGGGTTTAGTGACTTGAGTGAGAAATCAGAAAAGACCTTAGAGGAGGGCACCTCCGTACTTGTGAATGGTAAGTATCAGGCTCTGCAGGTCTAAGCACTCGGCTCTGAGCTGCGTCCCTGCGTCAGCCGCCTCTACCCACAGCCGTGCTGTGCACACAAATCCCAGTGGCACACAAAATAAGTGTGTCTCACTCACACACATACAGGCAGCTGGAGTGGTTCTGCCCCATGTGCCTCGTTCCAGGGCCATGTCTTATCGCAGCTACCCACAGTACATCTGTGTTGTGGAGACGGCAGAAGCAAAGAGGACACGTCCCAATGCCCCCAAGCACATTTCTAGCTTCTAATCACATAATGTCTGCTAACAGCCCATTGGCTAAAGCAAGTCATGTGGCTAAGCTCAAGGTCGAGAGACCGTGTTGTGTACCCTCCCACATCGAGGCCATGGCAAGAGTAGGGATGTACCATACTACCAGGAGAGTCAAGAACTAGGGCTGATAATTTCATCTACCGCACTCCCCACGTCATCAGTCATGCTATCTGTTAAGTCCAGCCACAGTGACCTGGGTACTGAAATCCTGGGTCTGCCAATCAGTAAGAGTGTGTTCTTAAATCTGTCGCTTCGGCTCTATATAGTTCAAGTGCTTAACTTGTAGAATAAGTGACATGATTCCTACTTTGAGGGTCATTCGGGTGATGAAATAGGAGAATGGATGTTTGTGGAACCACCCTGTAGACTGTTGACAGGCAGAATATCTGTGGCAGGTGGCTGGGGGCAGGAGGAAGGGCTCATTTTAACTTGACGCAAGCATGTCAGAAAGGCTTCTCAGGCTCCTTCCAAGCTGTGACAGGGACCTTCTCTTGGTCCTATAGTCCTCTGGGTTTCCAACCTCAGGGGGATTTTCTGGGCCATCTCCACCACCAGACTGAGAACTTCCTCCCAGCCCAAGGACATCTGTGTGTCTTGCTGAGCTTCATTTTTCCCAATCTTAACATCAGCACATAGTAGGTACTGAGAACTTCTTTACTGAGTGAATACTGGGCATGCAGAGGGAGTCGCGGAGTAAAGAAATTAGTGAAGAGGGGAGGGAGGGCAGATATGAGGGAGGTCATGAGCAGACAGCGGAGGAAGAAACAGAATACACCAAGGCCCCTCTTTTTGGCTTCAGGAGCTGGGGACCCAGAGCCGGACCTCTGTGGATCATCCAGCCCCAGGAGTTGGTATTGGCAACCACCGGAGACACTGTATTCCTGAACTGCACAGTGCTTGGAGATGGTCCCTCAGGACCCATCTGGTGGTTTTGCGGGGCTGGTCTGAGCCGGGAGGCCATTTACAACTTTGAAGGCATCTCCCACCCCAACGTGACAGCAGTCCGGGCCTCCAGCAGGGATTTTAGCATTCTTCTGCAAGGTGCCTCTGGGGAGCGGGCAGGCACCTACTACTGTGTCAAGTTTCAGAGGAAACTCAACAGACAATACCTGTCCGGACCGGGCACCAAGCTGTGAGTAAAAGGTGAGACAGGTGGTCTAGGAGGCATTGGGGGCGAGAGGGAGGTGGTCTACAAGGAACTTTCCATCATGTCCCAAATAAACCAGCTGTTCTCCGCCTCCAGCCTTTCCACAGGCCATTCCCTCTGCCTGGAATTCTTTCTCCTTCTCTCTGGAGAGCTCCTACTCATCCTTCAAGGCCCAGCACAAATAGCTCCTCCTCTGTGAAACCTTCTGTTTCTCCCAGGCAGAGTTAATTTCTCCCCATTCTGGGCTCCACAAAACTTTGTATAGACCATCAGTGATTTAACAGCATCTGTTGGGTGCCTTTTTACTGCCTTGCATTATACTAGGCGCTGTAGATACTGCAGTGAATCAGACATTGTCCCTACCCCAGAGATGCTCCCACAGGTCTAGCTAGTCCCTCACAGTTGCAGGATTTGACTTCTAGCCCCCATTGCAGGCAGACCCCTCTCGATGACCCCAGGTGCTAGCACAGGGGCTCGGGAAGTGGCAGGACAGAAAGAAAAGGGGAATGTGAGACTCTCTCTCATCCTTGCAGCAAACCACACTTCTCCCCAAGAGACAGAATTCACCAGTGAACATGTAGACAGGCTATTTCCATCAGGTGAGTGTACCTACCTCCTGTGAAGGTAACTGGTCCCCACAGGCAAGGGCGGCCAAACATGGCTTGGCCATGGGAAGGGAGCAGTTTCTGACTTCTAGGGCCATCTGCCACCAAGAAAGTCCCCAGGACTTCATCTCAACTGCAGAACCATGTTGAAGCTCAATCAGAGAAAGGACTCTTTAACAGCCGGTGCTGACTGTTCAGTGGGCAGTCTTGCTTGAGAGGTAGTGAGCTCCCCATGAGCCAGTGCAAGGACACACCATGAAGCTATACATCACGGCACTGGAGAACATGGCTTTGTAGCCAGGCAACCTGGATTGAGCCCCTTTCTAGCTGTGTGATTGCAGGCAGGTAGCCTTGCTCCTTACTTAAATGGCTGTTGTCCTGCTCTGTGAACTAGAGGGGAAAAGAGATAAGAATCAGAGAGCCTACCTCATGAGGTTGGATGTAGATCCGATGAGATTTATGCATGCCAAGTGCCCAGAACCGTGCATGTCACATCACCTCTTAATACTCAGGGGTGCTTGGGACTGGGGTGGGGTTGGGGGTTGGACTTGGGGTAGCGGCCCCAGATGCTCCCTGTTGCTCAGCCCTGTTCCTGCCATTCTTGGGAGCCAGACCCCCCGGTCCCATCACTTCTCTGACATATATGTCCCTGAGCAAATCATGCCCCCTCTCGGAGTCTGCCTCCTCATCTGTACCAATTGCACTATTATCCTACCTTGCAAGGTAAGTTTAAGGACTATATTAGGCAATTAGGAAGTGCTTAGCTCAAGGTCTGGGGCAGAGGAGCTGAACAGCCAATAAATGAACACAGTTTTCTATCACTGTCAGTGGCCAGGAATGCTGCCAAGATGACAAAACGTATAGGCAGGATACTGGGCAAAGCCTCTTCAGGCCCAGGACAGAGGGAGGGGAGGTCTTAGATCTCCTCTCTCAGCGTAGAAAGAATGTGGCTCCAGAGGTTTACAGCCACTGGGCCATCTTCCTTGTGGGGACACTGAGGTCTGGGACTATTGGGGGATCACCCAGGGTCCTTCCTGAGCTCTCCCCTGTGTCCTCCAGACCTCCTGTCTGTGTTCACACTTGTGGTCCTGGGACTGAAGACAATGACCTTGGCTGCACTCCTGCTGGCCCTGGCTCCATACTGGAGGAGGCGTCAGCAAGAAGACATCAAGACTCCAGGCCCAGCAGGACTGGGCCCCCCTTAGCATGGGGGCACAGAGCATGGGTCATGGGGCATGGGTGAGGGGTGAGCCCCAGAGTGGGTCCTCTGAGTCGGAGAGAGACCAGGGCTCCCCAGCCACTTCTCTGCCTCTGATCTCAACCTCCAGATGTTCCCCAGGCCTCGTGCCAAACTCCGGGATCCCCATATCTGGTTTCCACTCACCCGGTGAAGTTCCCCACCGGGCACTGACTGGGCTCCATTCTGGTGTGCCGTGCGTGCTCTCCCTTCACAGCCTGTGCAAGCCCTCCTGGTCCTTCATGGCTTGGCCCGGCTCTCTTCTTGGGGCCCTTGTTCCTGCTACAGCCCCGTCTGGAGTGGCTGCTCCCTTCCTCCACTCTTCACATTTTCTCATCCTTCAAAATCCAACTCAGAGTCCTTTCCGGAAGGTTTTCCTAAGCACCTCTGAGCTTGCAGAGCCAGACTGCCCAGGCCCCTCCATTTACATTCTTCTCTCCCCGTTTCCCGCCTTATTTCCTTCCCACCATGGCTGGCTTGGGTGGCTGTAATAGGTAAATGCAGGTTTGGCAACTTTAACAAAACTCTCTCTCCCTCTTTTTTTTTTTTTTAAAGATTTTATTTATTTGACAAAGAGAGACACAGCAAGAGAGGGAATACAAGCAGGGGGAGTCCAAGAGGGAGAAGCAGGCTTCCCGGTGAGCAGAGAGCCTGATGTGGGGCTCGATCCCAGAACCCTGGGATCATGACCTGAGCAGAAGGCAGACGCTTAACGACTGAGCCACCCAGGCACCCCTAACAAAACTCTTAAATCACAGTGGCTTAAGCCAGAAGAAAATCGATTTCTCTAGTAATAACTGAGCATAAGCAGGCCAGGCAATAGGGGATTCCTTCATCTTGTTGCTACCGCGTCCACATCCCAGGCTGTTAAGACTAGGGAAGAAGGCAAAAGTGAAGGGGAGTATAACCCTCCCCTTCAAGGGCACAGCTGGGAACTTGCCCACATCACCTCTAATTGGCTGGAATATGGTCACATGGTCACACCTAGCTGTAAGGAAGGCTGGGAAATGTAGTCTTTATTCTGGCAGCAGTGTGCCCCGCTCTAATTTTTCACTAAAAGAACCAGAGGGCAAATGTCAGTAGATAACCAGTAACGTCTACCTCTGTGGCAAGGGGAAGCTGCTTCCTTGCTCTGAGTTCAATTCCCAGCTGAAACAGCACCTCTTTGTACCACCACCTCCACTAGGGAGTATAATAGAGAGCAGTAGTTCTCAAGAAGAGGAGGTTTTTTTCCCCAGTGTACATTTGGCAATGTCTAGAGACACTTTTGGTTGTCACAACTTGGGGGTTGTCACAACTGACTATCACCATCTAGTGAGTAGAGGTCAGGGGGATGCTGCTAAACATCCTAAAATCACAGGGGCAGCCCCCACAACAAAGAGTTTTCTGGTCCAAAGCATCAGTGGTGCTGGGGCTGAGAAGCCCAATGTAGGGGAAAGTGTGACACGCCTGGCTTGCAATCCCGAAGCCCCCACTCCCTTCCCGTATGCCTTTAGTGACTAATCAGTCGCTTCACCTCTTGGACCCTCATGGATAATAATGTGGACACAGATCATAACATGGACTTCTCTGCATTGTCTAAGAACTTGGATTCATTTATTGAGGGCTTCCTATATGCTGTGTGCTCCGGGTACACTCAGTACCTGTGAGCTCCCTTTTTGCTTTCCACGTGAACACTTACTAGCACCCACTCTGTGGGGAAGTGTATTAGCCTGGCTGTTTTTCATTATGACAACAGAAAAACAGCTTGCAAAACCTAAGCCAAAGGGGACGCTAGTGTAGCCTGAGAACTGCATAAATCATTGAGTGACCAGACATCAGAATAATAGCCGCCTGCCAGATGATCCACGTCTTAATCTCTGGAACCTGTGACTACGACCTCACATGGCCAAAAAGGGAATTTGCAGCTGGAGTTAAAGATCTTGAGACAGGAGTTTATCCCAGATTATCCAGGTGGGCCCTAAATGCTTTCATGAGTGTCCTGATGAGGGAGAGACGGAGGGAGATTTGACATGGAGGAGAAGACAGCAATGTGACCACAGAGGCAGAGATTGGAGTGATGTGGTCACAAGTTAAAGAATGCCGGGAGCACCCAGAAGCTAAAAGAAGCCAGAACAGCTTCTCTCCCAGAGCCTCCAGAGGGAGCAGGGCCCACTGACACCTTGACTCCTGCCCGGTGATGCTGTTTTCAGACTTCTGGCCTTCAGAACGATGAGACAATAAATTTCTTTGTTCTAAAGCACCAGGTTTGTGGTCATTTGTCACAGCAGCCCCAGAAAATAAACAGCAGGGAAGGAAGCATGGAACCGAGCCTCTGGAAGAACTACTCTGCTCCAGAAACCTCCGGGACTTCCTGGGCCCTGCACCATCCGGTCCCTGCAAACCACTCCCCTCCCCAGTCGCATCTCCCACCACCACCCCCTAAACTGACTCCACCCTGACACCCACCTGGGCGTTGGCCACGCCACATTCCCTAACTCATCCAAGTCTCCCTGCTCAACTCTTCCCTTCACGAGGGCTCCCAGATGGCTCTGTCCACCAGGACATCTCCATCCCTCTCGTTGTCCTCACGCAGTGGATGTGTCCTTCACCGCACTCACCACTGCCTGAAATAAACGTGTATTTCCTTCAGGACAGCCAGTTGTCTCCTCTAGAATTTGAGCTTACTGAGGGCAGGGGCCTCACTTTTCACCATTGTAGCCCCTGCCACTCAGTTACAAAGAGTGGTTGAAGGCCGACAATGAGCCAGACACCCATCAGTGTGCTGAGAATTAAAGAGCAAAGTCTGTTCTCTCAGGGCATACCTACTATTGGGGGAAGACAGACAATGAGCAAGTAAATGTAGGTAAGCAACATGTCACATGTTGGTGAGTGCTAAAGGAATAATAAGGCAGAAGCGGGGGAGGGGGGTACCAGAGCAAGGGAGAGGAGATACATTTTATTTAGGGTGGTCGGAAGGGTCCTTACAGGTAAAGTGACAATTAAGCAAAGACCTGAAGGGAGTGGGTAGAGAGCCTTATAGATATCTGAGGGGAAAGCGTAATAGGATAAGGAACAGCAAGGGCAAAGACCCTGAGGCAGGAGTGTGCTTGACATGGCACAAGAATCATGAGCACCAAGCAGGTGCTTGGCACATGTTAGACCCCTGTAACATCTGAGGGGGTGTAGAGGGTAGAGGTAAAATCCACAGTCTTGGGAATCTACCCAGATTGAAATTCCAGTTCTTCTATTCATCTCTTGGGTGAGCTCTCTCAGAGTGTCTTGGTTTCCTTATCCATAAACTGGTAATGACATCAGCATCTCCCTTCTTATGTCGTTTTGAGGCTGAAATGTATTCGTGCATGTAAGGCATTAATTGTGCCAGGCCCAGTGGATGTGTGGGCAGGAGCAGTCCCCAGAGGGGGTGGAGAGGGTGCTGTCAAATAAAACAAACCATGGGTAACTCAGGGCCCTTGGTGGGCTCTCAGGAAAACCTGCTGTTGACAGATTGAAAGAGTGGGGAAGGAACTGGAGCTGGAGGAAGAGGAAGGACAGAGAGAGGTTTCCTGCATCCTGCCACCCCGAGGATGACGGCCTTGAGGGTTCTGTGCTGGAGTGGGGCAAGAGTGGGTGCCAGGCCTGGTCAAGTATACCCCACTACTGCCCATAGGACACACACACAGCTCAGAGTGCATCTGGGTCCCTGGGCTGGGTGTGGGGCAGTAAGGGGTGCCAGGCCTAGCCAAGCATGGTGTTACATGTTTCTAAACTATCTAGATGGTACTATATAATGGCACTTTACTCCACATGCCATTCCCAACCTTGCTTTTTTGGCTCCACATTCGAGATTTATCCAGGTTGGTTACCTGTAGGTCTAAGTCATGCATCTTCACGGCTATATGGTATTCCATTGTAGCAATACATCACATTTGTGATTCTCTTGAGGTTGGAGACCTGAGTTGTTCTATTCTCTCAGTATCGCCCCCAGAAACAATGTCATCATGTCTCCTGGTGTGCGCAGGCCAGCATTTACATGGGGTGAACCCCCACAAGTGGATCTGGCAGGGGATCTAGGTTTCATGATTCTTCAACTCCACTAGGTTTGCCAAGTTGTGTTCCAACGCCTTTGAGGACTGCCCTCACCACCCAGCTTGTCCCCGAGAGCCCAACCTGCAGCCATGATGAATACTGAGGGCAATGTCTTTGCAGCCACCTCACTTGGGAAAGGCACATTTATGGGTCGGAGGGCTCAGGCCATTTCTCCCCACCACCTGTTTTATGGAAAAGGAAAAGTTTTATTTATTGAAACTGGATCACATCCCAGAGTCAGCTCACCACTCACCAAGGGTCCAGGTACCTGCCCTGCATTCTTGTCCTCAGATTCTGACCTTGAATTTCTCATCTGGATGCTCAGATACTTGGTTTCATTCATTCATTCCTTCATTAATTCAGCAAAGGATCATCAAGTGGCTATTTAATACCAGTGACTGCAGGTCCCAGGAGATAAAATGACCCCTAACATTTGCAGAGGGCTTAGTAAGTGTCAAGCAGAGCAGTTCACACTGGATCCTCACACATCCCTCTGAAGTACTGTAAGGAGCCCCATTTACCCATCAGGACACTGAAGCTAGAGGTAATCCACTCAAGATCCTACAAGCAGTAATGTCTGGGCTTCAACCCCAGGCTGAGTCCAGAGTGAGTGCTGATAAGCCATATTGTGCCAGAGACAGCCACAGCCTCTTCTGTCACAGGGATGGTGGCCCTTGGGGAAGGCTAACACTTAACAAGGCATCACAGGGCATGCACAAGGATGCCTGACAGAGAGCCCAGGGATGTAGGAAGGCCTCCCTGAAGAGGGAATACCTAAACTGAGGGGAGGGGGTGTGCAGAAGCTGACAAAGGAAAGAGGAAGGGAAGAGAATCCCAGGCAGGATGGCAAGAGACAAGAGGGCAAAGAAGCTGAGGACCTAAAAGACGGGATTGGGTCTCAGAAGGTGCCCTTGGAACAGGAGCCTGAAGAAAGTGGGGGAACACCTTGCCCACCAGCAAAGGAAAAGGGAATCGCCGCCGCTGGCAAGTCTCTGAAGCAAATGCGCGCCTCACAGCAAGAAGGGAGTGTGCCTGGGGCAGAGGAACTTAGTGGGAAGCCTGGGAGATGAGATGGACGGGCTGGCGTATTTCACACCGGTCTTGCAGGCCAGGAGATTTTGTCTGCTACGCGGTGTGAGACCGGGAGGCACGTTCGTGTTGGGAGAAGAGGAGGGACCTGTTGTTCCAGGTCTATTTTTCCCCCTAGAATGTGAGGGCGGGGACTTTGTTTTGCTCTTTGCCTGTCCCCGTCCCTGGAAGAGCACCAGGCCCTTTGATCGCATTCAGTAAATATGTGAACAAGGAAGTGAATGAACGAATAAATAAAAGAATGAAATGAAGGAACGAGTCGATGAAGAACTGTGGACCTGACTCCTTCAGAGATTCTTTACCCCACACCACAGGTCCGGGTAAGACCCGCCCCGCCTCTCCTCCGCCCGGCTTCCACCCCCGCCCTTAGGCTGCGTGTCCGCGCCGCGGCCGCCAGAGGGCGCGGAGCAGGGAGAGTTTCCCGCACGGAGGGCTTTGCGTGAGGCACCGCATGGGGCGGGGCCTGCGGGCGGGCGCCTCTCGGCTGGGCCGGGTCGACCGGCGGGCGGAACGCGGCTGCGGGGCTGAGGCTCTGCGGCGGCGGCCGGAGCGGTTCGGGCGGCGCACAGGGCGAAGATGGCGGCGGAGCGACAGGACGCGCTGAGGGAGTTCGTGGCGGTGACTGGGGCCGAGGAGGACCGGGCCCGCTTCTTCCTCGAGTCGGCTGGCTGGGACCTCCAGGTAGCGGCGCGGAGCCGGCTGCGTCGGGCCGGCCAGGGGCTGCGGGAGGCGGGTGTCTGGCGCATCAAGCCCGCGGTGCCCGAAGCGCACAGTCATCCCGCCGGGCTGCGGCCCGACCCAGGCCTCAGGGTCCTGAGGCCGCTTGCCACGCGTCGCCAGCTCGGTTGGGCGTGGGGAAACGCGGGCCAACCCCGGCCCTGCTCTGCCGGCTCTCGGTTGCCCCCTCCGCCTCGCCCGCTGGTGGGGTCAGCGAGACTTTGGGCACTGCCGCGACCCGCGTGGAGAGGGGAGCCTGGGGGTGTGGCGGCCGCGCCGAGGCTCGGCTGGGGCTAGGCCGGCGGGAATGACCAGGTCCGGGGTGGAGCTGCGCCGGCGACGAGGTGATCGTTTCCCTTCACGCTGCCCCTGCCGCAGGTGGAGGGAGCAGCCCGGCCCAGGAGTTGGCCCACGCCCCCTCCTACCCAATTCCGGGGAGAATACCTCCACGGTGGTGGCGCAACCTTGCAGCCTATTCGTCTTTCCTAGTTAAGTCATCTGTAAAATGGGAGTCTCTTGGAATTTATCGTCTAGTGTACTGGCACATATTACGTATTCACTAAATAGTTGTTAATTAAGGCATTAAGATGAGCTACACGAGGGAGGGATTTTTAAAATTGTTGAATCCCCCGTACCTAGAACAGCTCCTGGCTCATAACATGCACTCAGTAATTGATTGTAGAAAGAATTGCGTAAATGGTCTTGGTTAGCCTGCGTCTTGGGTGGATGACGATGATTAGTAGTTCTTGATTCCCTGCCATGAGCCAGGTGCTGTTCTAACTGCTTTACGTGACTTAAATTACTTAATCTTAGCATTTTGCAGCTGAGGTTTAGGGCGGTTAGGTAACTTGCTCAAGGCATCACTAGTTACCAAGTGGAAAAGATAGCGTTAGAACTCAGTTCTGTCTGATTCCAGAGCCCAGGCTCGGAACCACGGAGTGCCAGGCACTTTACAGGTAGGTGATGATTTGTTTAATCCTAGCAACACTGAGGTAAAGAAGACTTAGCTCCGCTGTATAGGTGAGCAGTTGGAAGGTCAGAAGGCAAGTGATATATGTGAGATCCCACGGCCATTAAGTAGTGAGGTTGGGATTTGAACTGGGTCTGCTGACTCCACCATTTAAATTGCTTCCGCAGAGTAAGAGAATTAGGTATAGCATCACGCCTGTACACACACACAGTGTGAAGCCCCTGTGCAGGGCAGAAATACAAAATGCAGCCGCGGCCTGGAAAATCTAGAAGCTCACAATGTTACACAGTTGCCAGGTCATCAGTCCCGGTCTCCTCACACCGCAGGTAGGGAAACAGGCTCATGCTTGTAACATGACTTGTCTGGCAGGGCCAGGACTTGAATGTAGGCCCCCCTCACTACCAGTTCAGTGTGTGTCCTATGACAGCACACTGCCTCCAGGGGACTGGTTATATCCCATGAAGGCACGCTCCTAACAGGCTGATTACGTCCCACACGGGCTCACTGCCTACTATAAAGCTGGTGATTTTGAGGACAGGAACCATATCTTTTTCATCTCTATAGACCGCAGTGCTCTTTCTTATTTCTTTGTACAAAGTAAGTGGTTAGTAAATACTTAACCGTTAGGTCAGTGAGAGAAACAACCAAACACAAATGGCCAAAAGACTCCCGTATACCTTCTGTATGTAGAGAGCTAAGGCATGACTGTGCAGGAATGTTGATGGCTCCTCTCATTCATTGTGCGGGGTTGGTGGGACAAGTGTCAACATTGCATAGATGAGGAAACTGGGCCTTAGTGAGAAAGTAAACATAGCAATCTGGACCAATCTCTCTGTTCCTGACTCCTGACTGTCCCATAAGAGCTGAGAGTAAGGGCCTGAGCAGACTGCCTGGGATGGGACCTGGCTCTACTCCTTACCAACTGCTTAACTTTGGGCAATATTCTTAATTTGTCAGTGTTTCTGTATCAACTATAGAATGAGACAATAATAACAGCAATTACATATGGTTCTTTGAGGATTAAATGAGTTAACACATGTAGAGTTATGCTCAGAACAATGTGGCACATAAATAAATGCTCAATAAATGTACACTGCTTTTACTGGAGCACGTTTTCTAGCAAAATGAGAATGAGGAGTGACTCCATCCCAGCCTTCTTTCTTGCCTTCTATTCACCTTAGTGGGTGGAATTTGTTTCAGGTGATATGAAGAGAAACAGTTGGGCTGCTTGCTATCTTTTGATCTCATTTTCTGTGGTCCCCAGATAAAGACGACCTTACAAGGGTGGGCCATATCTTTGTGATTTTGCTTTTTTGCACTCAAAGGAAATATGTGTTAGATGAAGGCCTGTTTAAGAATCCCAAGTTACTGCCTCTCTGTTTCAGATCGCCCTAGCGAGCTTTTATGAGGATGGAGGGGACGAAGACATTGTGACCATTTCGCAGGCAACCCCCAGTTCAGTGTCCAGAGGCACAGCCCCCAGGTAAGGGCCAACTTCAATTATTGCTACTTGGGTGTGCTTCCAACAGTGATGAGGAGCAATTTCCTGACTTAATGGAGGATTCGGGCCTGGAGATAGGGACCAGTGGGTTGGAGTAAGAAAGTTAGATTAATTGGTGGATACTGGTTCCTCGCATGACATGTTCCTTTCCTGTAGAGAGAGGCACAACACACTCAGGTGGAAACTCTTACCTGAGTGTGGTTTATGGCCCAGTCCTGGGGGAAACCACAGAACCTACTTTGAAGATGTTTGAGGGTCTTTTATTTATGAAAGTGAGGAGTGATCTCTTCATCTCTGGAAGTTTTTAAGTAGAAACCAAAGGACTTCCTTTCTGGGGGCTGTAGATGTACAAGATTAGACTAGATGACTTTAGAAAGGCTCTTTTGATATTTTAGGATGCCCATTACCCTATTTAGAAGTCTAAGAGAAAATAAACCTGTGTAACCCACTCTTTCCCAGATTGATTAGGTGAAACAGAGTTAACCTTTATGATCCCATTTGCATCCCCTGTCCCAGCCACCTAACTCCAAGGTTCCCATGGCAGATCACTGCTGTGATCTGCAGAGCGAGACAGTGCTGGTCCTCCAGGAGACAGGCAGGGCCTCTTCCTACAAAGGTGTCTGAACTACAGCTCCCCTCTCTGCTCTAGCCTGATTTGTTTCTACGCTCTGGTATATGTTTTCACCAGAAAAATTTGTTTGGTTTTTAAATCAACCCCAGAATACAGATAGAATGTTTCTTTGCCAATGGAGTGGTAAATTGTGTTTCTCTCTAAGGGCATCCAAGCTTTAAATTACATTTCCTCCTTTGAAGAAGGAGCTCTAACCCCAGATTTTGTTCCTCCTCGACTTCTTTCCCTGTCTCCCGTGTCCAGAGGTATGGGTGATGGCTCATCTGGATGTTACTACCTGGAACATGGTTGTTAGGGAGATAGCTGATTTCCTGGGTGTGAGTCTTTCATGGTTACTGTTGGGATGTTGGCGTGTCAGACCCATAGAGGGGGAGAAGTTGAAATGTCGCCTCTGGTATCAGTCACATGTTCGTACCTCTCTCCTCTAGTAGCCTTAAAGTCCTGTCGAGGCAGTGGTTTATTGGAGCAGAAGCCTACAAGCCCAACTCCCTACATTCAGATCCCAGCTCTGCTACTTGGGAGCTTTGTGACCTTGACAGTTTTGTTTTGTTTTTTTTTCATGGATTTTTTTTTTTTTTAATGTGTGCGTGTGTTTTGTTTGTTTCTTTTCAAGCAACGTGACCTTGACAGTTTACTAAACATCTCAGTGCCTCGGTTTTCCTTGCCTGTCAAATAGACATGGTAGCAGTGCCTACCACGTGGAAGATTAAATGAGTTTTTAACTTACAAAGCACGTAGAACACAACGTTAGCCATTGTCCTTTTATTATTATCATCATCAGCATTGGTTTTCATCATCCCCATTCTTTTTCTATGTGTCCCCTTTCTCTTTCCACAAAGATAAAAAACAGATCTATAAGTAAAAGAATCAAAGAAATGGAGTTTAATGTTAAGACCAAGGGGGACTGAACACATGTGCAGGCCTAAAGGCTTTTCTTTGTTGCTTCGGGTAAGCCTCAAACATAGTACTCAGTTGGGTGAAGCCAAGAAAAACAGAGAGGGAGGACATAGTCTGTTACATCATTGTCCTGGTCCGGAAGGACCGGAGAAGCCACGCTTGTACTAACATCTCTGAGGAGTTGTGTGTGCAACCTGCCTCTGCCCCCACCCCGAGGGACCAGACTGTTGCAGGACACTTAGCCTGCTGCTGGCTCGCCCCGCCCCTGCCGTTCTCTCCCCGACTGCTCTCTCGTGTCCTCACTGGTGCTGTGGAGCAGCACTCGTTAGTGAGGTCCTCCTTTGATTCTAGAATCTGGAATGGATGTGAGAAGGTTTATAAATGACCTGAAGTTGCAGAATTTTATGTGTATGTTTTATCCTTTCTGGCAAGAAAATCCATAGCTTTTAAGAGATTTTCCAAGATCTTTGGGACATAAAAAGGTTAACCATTGCTGTAAGACAGTGTAAACTCCTCAGTAATAACAGCTGTCGTTTATTGAGCACTTGCCAGGTGCCAGGCCCTAGGTTAAGCCTTTACATGTACATCTCTTTAGTCCTCACTACAACCGTATGTGTGGGTACTATTACTCTACCCATTTTACGGATGAAGATACTGAAGCTGGGTGTCTTCCCAAGATGCACAGCTAGTAAAACAGGGATTTAAATGCAGATCTGTTTCTGTTTCCAGCGTTCAGCTCTCAGCCAAAATGATGTACTGCCTCCCTTCATGGACATTCAGGGTCCTCCAGAGCTGGCCCTGAACCTACCATCCTTATCTTACCCCCTTTCCCTTGTTTCTCAAATCTTTATTCCAACCAAACTGATTTCATTGGTATCTCAATTTTGCCTCATTTTTGGCTCTCCTGCTTTTGTTTGAGCCTTTCACCTAACTGGACATACCTGCTCTCTTTCCTGTCCAGCTCCCATGGGTCCTTCCAGGTTTAGCTCAGTCCCTACCTTCTCTTTTGAATGCATTATCCCCAACCCATAGGCAGCACGCCATGGTCTTGTTACTCAGAAATCCAGTCACCTATAATTCATTCAATTTTTGACCATATCCAGGTACTACTTGGTGACATCTCTTGTGGGTCGTCTTGAACTCTTCTCCTGATCTTTAACTTACTTTTTCTCCCTCGGTAAATTTTAAGTTCCTGGAAGTGGGAGGGCTGGGATTTCAGGAGCACCCACCATCTGTCTAGCTCTGCCAGATAGTCTTAACCGATGTTGTTATGCCTCAACAACTTTGGAAGTAGGTAGGGTGCTGGGTCTTAGAAAGATTGAGTAACTCACAGCTCCTGTTATGACAGATTCAAATCCAAGTCTGTGTATATACAGAGCTGCTTCTGCCCCATACTACCTCCTTGTCCAGCACCTCCCACCCCTGTACCTAGCACAGGATAGAGTAAGAGATAGCGGTGAGTTTCTTCCTTTTTTTCTTTCAACCGACTTAACTATACTTTCTTAGGATGCCAGGGACTGCCATTTTCTGCTTCTCTAAAACTACACTATCCAGTGTAGGAGCCTATAGCCTCATGTGGCTGTTTAAATTAGTTAAAATTAAATAAACATTCAGTTATGCATACTGATCACATTTCAGATACTCAGTAGTCACCTGTGACTTTGACTTCCATACTGGACAGCATAGGTACAGCATTTCCATCACTATGAAAAATGGATCTGACAGAGGACTTCCGTGTCCTCGGGGTGCCAGGGTACCTGGGAGATGGAGTTTTGATGGTGAAAAATTGAAATTTCTGAGACATTTTGCCACTTTGTGGAGGACAGAGGACAAAGTGTTCTAAAATTGATGGTGTCCCCTGGACGTCCATGCCTAAGGTAACTCTCAGAACACTACCCCAGAGCAACTCTCAGCTCTAAGCGTGTGTCGGAATTACTTGGAGAGCTTCTCAAATGCAGGGTGCTGGGCACTTCTCCCAAAGTTTCTGACTTTGGAGCTCTGAGGCAGGCCTAAGGACTGGCATTTCTCACAGTCTCACAGATACTGCTGATGCTCTCAGTCTAAGGACCAGCACTTTGAGAACCACTGCTTGAGAGGAGCACTTGCAGTGTGCTGCGCCAGACTCAGTGCCCTGACAGCTCACAGAAAGCCCGAGGGGTTGGTGCTGTGATTGGCCCCGTTGGCACATGAGAACACGAAGACTTCGAGAACTTCATTAGCATGCCCCAGATCCCCGGGTGGGCTCACTTGGGATTAGAACCAGGTATATGGACACCAGAGTCTGTGTCAGATGGTGTCAGAGTCTGGATGTGAGAACTTTCAGAGAAAGAATCAAACCTGCTGCCAGAGTAAGTGGTTTGCTCAAGCACGTGTACGTGTGGTATTTGAAGGTGTTTAACAACAGAGAGAGGGCTTTTGTCACCATGGGTGTTAGCCTGAACATCTGTGGAAAACTCCCCCTGGGAAGATAATGAGTGAAATTAGCCTTTCAGGGCCATAGTGCACATCTATCACTTGGATCCTTTTGAACTATGTCATATAGAGCATCCAGGAATGCCCAGGAGGTTGCTCTCAGCTAACTCAAGCAGGGAATGCATTTGCTACGTTAATTGGTCTTTGTTCTCTCCTTTCTAGTTGATGGCACTTCAAAGCCTGTTCTGTCCTCTGATTGTCTCCTTGATATAAATCTTCAAGATTGAACTGGAGCTTTCTCCCTAGAAAATAACTCCTTGAGGCTTCTCAGTCTAGCCTCAGTAAACCTGTATTTCCCCGCCCCCATCGTTTTATAAAGAACTTACCTGTTGCCCTAAGAAATACAGAAAATGTTTTTATAAAATGTGTCTCATGATTCCTAAGTTCCTTGAGGACACTCTAAACTAGAAAAAAAGTGACAGTGTAAAACAAAGTCAGAGGAGGAAGGTGACTCTTCTCACACCCATTTTTAGTGTGCCCTCTCTGGCCCCACAGACAGCTCTGCTTTTTTCCTAAACACCAGTAAAGACTTTCTCTTGACCAACCTGCAGCAGAAGCAGAGGCGTCCTCAGCCACATACTCATTTCCTTTTCACTTCTTGATAGCTTGTCCTTCCTGGAATGTGGTACTTTGCATATGTGCATCTACCACTTTCCTGCAGTGCTTACCTACCCCCACCAGCCTCCTGCCCTCTCTCCACCTGACTGATGGTCCGTTCATTCTTTGGCACACAGTCCAAGTGTTGCATTTTCCTAGGAAACCTTTCTTGGTATTCCGCCATCCCCACCCCACGAGGGACAAGACATTCTGTACCCATGTGTCCCGTGTGCTTCCCTCTGCCACAGCCCATACTGCACAGTATTTAACAGATGGTTTCCTGGCTCAGGGGCCATGAGGCTATAAGCAACTCAAGAATAAGAACCGTGTCTGATCATCTTTATAGACCTAGTATCCAGTTCAGTATTTAAAATTAAATGATGAGGTGGCTCAGTCAGTGGAGCCTGTGACTCTTGCCCTCAGGGTTGTAGGTTCGAGCCCCACATTGGGTGTGGAAATTATTTAAAAATAATAAAAATCTGTTTAAAAAAGTAATAAGAATTAAATGTTGAAAACAGCTATCCAATTGTAAGTTTTTAAAGTAGTACATACCCCATATCTCCATACACCCCATACTGTTCCCCCTCCTCCCTCTAGGAGAGCTGAAATTGGACTCCCATCTTATTTCACGATACTCCTTCCTAATTTGTTTGCAGTCCTGCGTTACCGTGAAGAAAAATGCCACATTATTTTGATAGAAAGGCTCACCCTCTTTCACTTAGATCCACCAAAAAAAAAAAAAAAAAATCTAACCCCTATGTCCTCAATTCCTTAGCAGCTGATAATGGGGGTTACTTTTGTTTAACTCTCCCCGATATCATTTTGCTCCTTTCTGTGTCTCCAGTGATAATAGGGTCACATCCTTCAGAGACCTCATTCATGACCAAGATGAGGAGGAAGAGGAGGAAGAGGGCCAGAGGTGAGTCTTTGTTGGGGGGGGTGCACAGTCCACAGGAAAGTCCATGATAATGTGTAAACCATCTAGAAGGACCTAGAAGGATAACGTGCTCGGTTATCATTAGCCATTACTACTATGGGCTAGTCTGGGTGGTTATATTCTAGAAACAGTCTCCCACTCCCTGTAGCTTAGAAGCCATCCCTTTCCCCTGTTACTATTTTTTTCTTTTGGGGTATTCTGGGTTTTTCTTTTTTTAATTATTAAAAGAACATGTATTTGTTAAGGAGTGTTAGGGGAAGGGAAACAAATCAATAAGAAGGAAAAGAAAGTTATTCATAATACCTGGTCACCCAGTGGTCACCCAGTGGTCACCAGGTATCAATATTTTGGGTGTTTATCTTTCCAGGTTTTTCTTTTTAATTAAAAAGACAATATATTACGTAATAATAAAAAGCTTATCAGTGTGTATTCCCCCAACATACACACATACACGTACTGTTTGTCTGTTTGTTTTTAACTGTTAGGAATGCTATAATAAAAATAGTGTCCATTGTGGAAGATACAGAATCGTGTACTGAAAAAATGTAACACTCATGCACCCCTTGGTAACTAGAGTTAATGTTTTGGCATATTTTTATTCAGTCTTTGCTCTGTATATAAATGTACTTTGTTTGGTATTATAATTTACATGGTGACAGATAATTTTGTTCCTTGTTTTTATTGGATTAATGCTTTTTCTTCAGTACTTCTCCATGCCATTAAGATTCATTAGTGTTTTCAACAACTGTAATAATAATTCATCATATGGATTGTCCAATATTTAGGTTTTTGACAGTTTTTTACTATCGTAAATATCAGTGCTGTGAACATCTCTGTATATCAATCTTTGGCTACATTTCAGATTATTTTCTTACGGTAGTTTGTAGAAATGAAAGTGCAGGTGAAGGGAATGAATATTCTTAAGCACTTGATCACAGGCTCTTAGTTCACAAGCCAAGGCTTTGAGATTCCGTAATAAAGACCTCTCAGTCCACTGAGCAGAACTTCATCTGCAGCCTCATTTCACGGGTTTTAGTTGCCCATGGGCCCTGCCTCGGTCTGTCAGATGTTCTTAATGATCATTATAGTAACTCTTAGGGAAATATAATTATCTCATCATGGTCACTCTTTGGGAAGCGGGCTGAGAAATGACATGTGTTCTATTCTCTGTTTTCATCCATATAGTGACCTTTACACTGCCTCACAGCCTTCTTTTTAGATACATTCAAGGTTCAGAGTTTTACACTCCTTGAGTGAAAGGCAATGCCATCAAGTATGTGAATGCCCAACTTCTAAATGGCCGCTGCCTCCTTTTCCTGTCCTGTCACATCCTCCAGGTGATGACCTTCCTTTATTTCACATCCTGATTACATCCTCAGCCCCTCAGCATTTCAGACCTGATGACATTGGTGCTGTTGTCCTTGTCTAGGCCTGTGGCTTGCCTTGCATTCAGTGGGGAATGTCAGGAAATAGAAGGCTGAGACTAATTTATAGGTTCTCAGCTCTCCCCACTGAGAGACATGCCATTGACCTAGCAGTGAATAGGAGTGACAAGCAGGTGGCTAGCCAGGCTACATGAGTACTGGTTTTCAGAACCAGGTTAAAAACTGCTAACTTAATCTCAAGCCATACGTGGCCCATTGCATAGCCTGGTGTGGGTATCTTGGGGCTTGTATTTGGCTTTCCCTGACCTTTTTCAGTACCATCTTCTCATTGCCCCCAGTGGATATCACCAGAATAGCAAGGTGAGGTGAAGCTTGGGTGAGCTCTCCGTGCTTTATCACACCACCTGACATGTGTGCATTACTCTGTGCTTGTTCTTTTGCATACATCCGCTGATTTGAACCTCATGGCCCTGACTTAAGGAGCAGGTAGGTAGGGCATGTGGTCCTTCCCTCCCATTTCAAAGATAAGGAAGATGAGCTACAGGGCACTGCACCAGTTTGCCCAGGGGCACTCAGCGGCAGAGCCAACCCTGGAGCCTAGCTGCTTGTACTAACCACACCGCCGCCGCTGTTAACCTAGAGCTGCTTCTGACCGTGACCATAGTTGCCATCTCCTAGAAGGGCGCTGGCCAGCGGATGGATAATTCCCAGTTGGGACTCTTTCTGGAGCTGGCATGTTGTCATGCATGCCTGGAATGCCCTTCCCTGGTTTCTTCACCTGATAAACATATCCTCATCCTCAAGACTCAGCCCAGAAGATCCTCCCCAGCTCAGTGCTCCAGAGCACCCCTTACTGACCTCCATTGCTGTTCACACTGCATTATGCCTGCCTGCCTACTTACCTGTTTCCCCCAGTTAGACAGTAAATTCCTTAAAGATGGGCATTGCACCCTTTACCTCCGTGTGCCTAGCACCTAGCCCAGGGCCTGGCACATGCTGTATTCATGTTTTCCAAGTGCGTTTAGCGTAAGACACGTGTTTTCTGTACAGGTTTTATGCCGGGGGCTCAGAGAGAAGTGGACAGCAGATTGTCGGCCCTCCCAGGAAGAAAAGTCCCAACGAGCTGGTGGATGATCTCTTTAAAGGTGCCAAGGAACATGGAGCTGTAGCTGTGGAGCGAGTGACCAAGAGCCCTGGAGAAACCAGTAAACCGAGAGTAAGCATAGGGGGTTGTTGTCTGTGGCCACCAGACTCTGGGTTTTGGGAGCTGGAGAGGGCTGGGGGGAGCCCTTTGTCACCCTAGTGTGACTGAATTTGTTTTGTCTTTCATTGCTCATTTGCTATTATAAGTGCAAGAGCAGTGCGGTTTGTTTCACCTTTCAACATGAAATCAAGATGTGAGGCAGTTTTCAAATCTTGGCCTGTGGGTTGGAACAGGTCCTATACACATGTTGTATTTGGCTGACTTGATTTATTCAGTGTTTTACTTTATTTTGTTTTAATTAAATTAGTAGCCACCTGTGTTACATAAATTCTAGATTTCTGTTGTCTTTGGGAAAGTCAGAAAGTCTTTGGTATTATCTTGCCCCCAGATTCCTGCATGACCATAATTAACTAAAGCTTAGTAGCAGCTCTTCCCTTTAGCCAAGCGGTGCCTCCTGCCTGCTTCCTCCCCACCCCCCCCCCCCCCCCACCCCCCAGTTCTCACCAGTCCAGGTCACTTCATTCATCTCCCATACTGCCTGGCCCTGTGGCTCTGAGTTCAGTACCAGAGTAAGTGCACCTAGTAGGTAACAAGCTTGAGGTATGTCATTGTATCTGAGTGACCCACCACCATTGTCTGTCTCCTCAGTGTTTATGAACTTGTGTTTTATAGCCGTTTGCAGGGGGTGGCTATCGCCTTGGGGCAGCACCGGAAGAAGAGTCTGCCTACGTGGCAGGAGAAAGGAGGCGGCATTCCGGCCAGGATGTGAGTGTGCATCTTCATTCTTCGGGAAGCTCATAGACTGTTCTGCCGTTTTTCAGAGGTGATTGGTCACATGTTATGTGTGCACCAGCAGCCTCTGAAAGGGAAGAGGCCACCTTACTGTGGTCCTTAGATGGAGAGGATTTACCTGACTGGGCGGGGCACTCGTGAGAAGGGCTGAGCAGAGGAGACGGACAAATGAAGGCATTGTGTGAGCATTCCACTGAAGCCTGTGCAGAGGGATCATGATTCTGGGGTTTTCTGGTGCTGCGGACATGGCTAAAGAACTTAGTCTTCAGTTCATCCAAGGAGGCCTAAAACACAACTTTGAAAAAATTTTCGTTACTATTGTTCAGTCCTTTTTTCTCTGTATAGGATTCCCTCACGAATAAGTGTCTCATACTATATCGATAATTGTGAGGTTTGTGAATTTAATATTATGTCATAAGCAAATGTTTGGCCTTGTGACCATTAGTTTCTATTATGTATTTGTTTTTAATCATTTTGGGTTTTATTCCAAAATAAAGTCGAACGAGGAGAAAAATAAAAACTATGCACCTGAGGCAGCAGCTGCTAACATGTTGGTTTGTAGCCTCGACCCTTTCCGATGAATATGTGGGGGGAGTTAACAGAGATTGTAGATAGCATTTGTAATGACTGCAGAATGCCCATGAGTAAATTTGCCATGGCAGTTTAGTTGAGCACGAGCTACATGCCAAGTGCACCGACAACCGTACAGATAAGCCACAGCTTTGACTTGGTCACTTGCTCAGAGCCACTTAGCCTAGTGAGGGCGAAACTGAGATGTAGACCCAGGTCTGCTCAAATCAAAGTTCATGCTCTTAACCTGTTGCCAATCACCTTATTTTAGATGAATACTTGGTGGTTGATAGATTTCCTCGTGCATGCGTGTGTGCGGTATGTCTGTGTTTTGATAATGACACAAGAAAATAGTAAGAACCTGCTAATTTACAGGGTCACATTGGTGTGCTTGCCAGTTTCCTGACAATGTATGGACTGCTACCTCCTATTGTCACAGGTTCATGTAGTGTTGAAGCTCTGGAAGAGTGGGTTCAGCCTGGACAATGGTGAACTCAGAAGCTACCAAGACCCATCCAATGCCCAGTTTCTGGAGTCTATTCGCAGAGGGTAAGCAGAGAAGCCTTCCTCTGGGTTCCATGTCAGTGAGTGGAATGGCAGCTGGAAAAGAAGAGGCTGATTGAAATGTTTATTATTTAAGAAGTTTAAAAAAAAAAATTAAGATTTATTTATTTTAGAGCAGGAGAGTGCAGGGGGGGGAGGGGCAGAGGGACAGGGAGAATCTCAAGCAGACTCTGTACTGAGCACGAAGCCTGACGCAGGGCTCCATCCCATGACCCTTAGATCATGACTCAAGCCAAAACCAAGACTTGGATGCTTAACTGGCTGTGCCACCCAGGTGCACTGCCCCCCCGCCCCCATTTTTTAAAAATTTTATTTATTTATTTTGAGAGAGCGCACGTGTGCGCATACGTGAGCATGGGAAGAGGCAGAGGGAGAAGGAGACTCTCAAGCAGGTTCACGCCCAGTGCAGAGCCCGACACAGGATTCAGTCTCAGGACCCTGAGATCATGATCTGAGCCCAAATCAGGAGTTAGATACTCAACTGACCGAGCCACCCAGGCTCCCAAGAAGTAAAAAATTTTAAGCAGATTTAACACAGTTGAAATACAGATTCACAGATCTAAAACCTTGTGTGTCTGTTTTTCCCTTCTGGGCCTGGGACAGAACCAAGTGACCAACTAAGGTAGAGGTCTCAACTGTGACTTTGAGCAGGCGAGAGACAAGTGGGAGGCAGACAGTAGCCACTAAAGTAGCCGCTTCCTGTGGAGGCCCAGCAATTTTCACGTTTGGAACTGGGATGTTTCTCCTCCCTTTGCCCCCATCACTGCCATTCCCATGCTGCTCTGTGTGGACCCCAGCGTTGCCTTTTGTTCTGCAGGGAGGTGCCAGCAGAGCTACGGAGGTTAGCTCACGGTGGGCAGGTGAATTTGGATATGGAAGACCATCGGGATGAGGATTTTGTGAAACCCAAGGGAGCCTTCAAAGCCTTCACTGGCGAGGGTCAGAAATTGGGCAGGTAAGAGCAGCACGGGCGGAAGCGGGACATGCTGGTACCTCTACCAGACCCGCAGACCCTGTATCTCACTCACTTGACATGTAGCTCTTCACTGTTACAGACTACTGCATGTTTCATTTGTATAGGAGGAAGAGTGTGGAGAACGTGGGCTTTGGTGTTAAAAGACCTGAGTTTAAAATTTCTTCTTCACTTTCTAGCCATATGACCTTTGACTGCTAAAATGTGACTGATGAGTGCTTCCCTCCTTAGTCACTGTGAGGAGCACAGAGTGATGCCCCACAGTGAGCAGTTAGTGTGAGCAGGAAGGGTAATACGTTGCTGCTTAGATTCCATAATCTAGCATGTTCATGGCAGTAGTAACCTCCTTCAGGCTTATGGCTGAAACAGACACATTTTCCTGGGTCACCTGAAATGGGGGTTTGGAGGGATGAGAAATCCTGGACTCTCTCACCCAACCCAGCCTTACAGCAGCTTTGTTCGGGATCCAGGGAAGCTCAGGGACATTATTGCCCTGTGCAGGCTGATGCCCCACCATTATGGCGGCGCTTACCTCTCCTCCTTTGGCCCTGCCTGACACTCATTGTCACTTCCTGTGACTTTTTCTGCCTTGTGTCCTTTGCCGCTGCCTCCATCTTGCATTCAGATCCCTGATACGATCTGATTGGTCGAAGTCACTCTTGCCTTTGATAGGCAGAGTTCTCCCACCAGACCTTGGCCAAGCCATACTCAAGCTGCCTTCTCTCAGAGGTCCACTTAGCTCTGTCCATGGGGTCACTTGGTCAGTATTCTTCAGGGAGAACTGCACAGAAGAGGCACTCAGGGAATCGTGACCCTCCCTGCTGGTACAGTCATTTTACAGAGGGAACACTGAGATTATTGGACTCTAAGGGTTATGCTTGGGTGCATGACTGGTATGTGGTGGAACCAGGATTGGAACCCAGGCCTTCTGACGCATTTCTTCCCACACCTGCACAGCAAGCACCCTCTCTGACCTAGATCTGGCAGCTCTTGAGCTAGGCACTGCCTCAAGATGCTCACCTCATCACCATCTGCAGGGATCAGAGTGTGGTCTGCCAGCAGCTGTACCCTTTGAGCTTCAGCCCGGCCCTCCTGGAATCCCCGACCTCCCTGTTGGCCATTCATGCCTTATCAGGAGCAAAATAATAGCTCGGGACATTAGAGACCAATAGACTGATTTCCCAGGACCCAAATAGTAAGTCTAGTCTGCTCTTATTTCGTCTACCGCATTGGGCCTGCGGGTTAGTCCCAAGACAGGTGTCCTCAGAGTGGTCCTCTCTGCGGCTTCCCTGCCAGCCGCGGTAAGCTTGTAGAGCACTAGAGAAGTCTTTTTTAAGTATTAAAACAAAACGTATTTATCTTTTGATAAATAATAGAAAATACAGATCAAGAATAAAAACAACCTAACATCCAGATATGTCCAGTTAGTATTATTCTAGTCGTGTGTGTGTGTGTGTGTGTAAACTGTGTATGCTGTTTTATCACTTGCTGTTTTGCTTAATGAAAGTAGTATGGCTGTCTGTACCAGTAAATGTATTTCTTCAATCTCATTTCTAATGCTAACATAGCTTTCGATCTTATGTATGTGCTATAGTTTAACCAGTCCCTGCTGTGAACCATTTAGGCAGTTGCCAGTATTAAGAACAACATTGCAATGAATGTCTCTAATTAAATCTTTGTATACCCCCTAATCTTGGGCCAGAAGTAAAATTATTGGCTCAAAAGGTCTTCATATTTTTAAGATGGTGTCAAATTGTCCTCCAAAAAGGATGTATCCATTTGTACCCACCAGCTATTAGAAGGAAGGGCTCAGAACTCAGAACACCGTACATTTGGGCTTGTTTGCTTTCATGATACTAATGGGAAATGCTACTACTGGAAAGTCTATATTATTTGTGCAAAACTCCACATCTCAAAAAATTTTTTAAAAAATAAGATTTGATTTATTTGAGAGAAAAAGAGCACGAGCAGGGTGAGGGGCAGAGGGAGAAGCAGACTCCCTGCTGAGCAGAGAGCCTGATGCGGGGCTCCATCCTGGGACTCCGAGGTCATGACCTGAGCTAGGCAGACACTTAACCGACTGAGCCGCCCAGGCACCCCCCCCCCAAAATTAAAATGTTTCTAAGGAAGTCTATTTTAGCAAGAAGGGAGTAAATAATTTTACTGTTGTGGAGGATGAATCCAACAAGTTCAGACGGATCTTGTTAATCAGGTGCTTGACAGAGCTTGATTTTGCTGGTTAAATAAATACTCTTTGCCAGTGCCATTTTCATTTTATTCCAGTTTGGCTTTCTATGAAAAATGAGAAGACATGTTTTATACAGCTAAATGAGATTTTATAAGCTAAGTAAGGTTTTAGCTTTTCAGTCTAAACCAGATGGACAGCTTTTTCTAGTTTTCCCCATAAATTTTGCAACATTTTCCATTGTCATCTTGTCAACTAAAATGATCAAGAGCCAAAAGTTTAAGAAAATGTTCTCAGGTTTGCCTCAAAAATCAGTCCTGGGTTTTTTTTCTCCAATTATCTGAATGAATAAACTGTTATCAGTTCAAAAATTTGAGAAAATTCTTAGAGTTGTATTAAACTTTGTTGTTTTAGGTTTTACATCTGTTTGGATGGGAACTAATCTGAAGGTCCAGAAAGACTGCATTTATTTGATAATGAGTAGCAAACACCAAGAACGCCCTGGGGGGTGTGGGTTTGCTGCTACCCGGATTGAGTTTCGGCCGCTCACCATGCTTTCTGCAGTGGTCATTTTGTGAAGAGATGGCAAGGTGTCAGCACTTAACAGTTGTGACAACAAAGCACCTTAGTGCCCAGTTAATTCCCGACTACAAAGGAAATGAGCAATTGGGTGATTCAGGCTCTTGATCTGGGTGAGGCTCTGTTGCCCTGTGAGTTGTATGGTATTTGCAGTGAGATAGTAAAGAAACTTTTGGATGTCTGATCTGACCATTCCCGTCCCTGGGTGAAGTGCCTTCACTGCCTCAGATGACCCAGCCGCTCCTTGCGAGGAATGGCTCAAGTGTTAGCTCTCCGGAGACACCAGACCCAAGGCTGAGCTCCCTTGAACCTATGCACGTAGCTGTCGTGCACAACTAGAGCAGTTTGGACCTACTACTTTCTGAGTGTCTTGCTCCAAATAAGAACCATAAGATCTGGTATAGACGTTCCTCCTACTCCAGTCCTCACCCTCCTTGAAGGCTGTGTAGGTTGGGAGTACCCCTTAGGTGACCTTCCAGTTGCAGCCCATGGCTAGGCAGTAACATCTCCAGCTGATTTGGGTCCAGAATATAGACAATGTAAGTGGGGCAAGACCTTGAGGAATGATATAATCAGCTTTTATAGTGTTTTTCTGCTGTTAGCGAGGCACTGGAGTAAGCGTTTCATATGTGTTACCATCTTTAATCCTGTTTCAATCCCTAGTGTACAAGTAAAGCCTCTGAGCCTTGAAGAGGTCAGGTCACACCCAAGGTCACACTGCTGGTCAGTGCAGAGATAGGTTCCTTCCAGTCTCTGCTCTTACCTGCCATGCTGCATTGCATCTGGGATGTTCTTACATAGCCACATAGGCATTTGTTTGTGTTCCTAGTATATGCTGGATACGGAGCATTATTTTTAGCTATTATCTCAACCAGAAATTTCATTTAACTCCCATTTGATCGATGAGCAAACTGTCTTGGGGGCAGTGTTCCGTAAGTCCAGGTCTAGGTCTGCCAGACTCCAAGGCTTGACGGGAGAGTATGGCAGGTGTTAGAGCACAGGACAAGAGCCGGGCAGCTTGGATTGTGTCCTGACTTCACCTCAAACCAACACTGAGATCTTGGGTACATTGCTTAATCCCACTGTGCCTCAGTTTCCTCACCTGTAAAGTAAAAATGATGAATTCCTACCTCACACGCCGTTGAGGATTAAATGAACCACTGTGTGAAATACTCAGCCTGGGGCCCAGCTTGGTGATGGCCGGTCCTGTGCTGTTTCTCCAGGCATCACACTAACTCTCCTTCATAGGAATGGCTGCCATGTAGCGGACTGCCTGCACTAAGAGGTATAGAGGTGGCATAGAGATAGTATTCCCCTTTTACAGAAAAGGAAATTGAGAAACCCAGAGGTTCACTAACTTGCTGAGGGTCACCCAGCTCATGAGTGAGGGTGTATCAGATTCTCTGGGAGCTGGGGACAAGTTTGAGAAAGGATTTTTGTTGTTTAAAGTAAACCATAGACTGTGAAGCGTGGCAAAGTCCTGGCTGGTAGGAACACAGAACGTAGAGGGAGAAAGCTTGTTCGTCATGTAAGTTTCTAAAAATTGAGAAACTACCCTACAACATGCACTGCTGTTTTCCCTTCCATAAAATGGAAACTGTACCGATCTCAGAGGACGGTTGTGCTGAGTCGTGAGGCTGTGGCTTTCAAACCCCCCGAGACAGTGCGTGCGCCAAGTGAACGCCATTTCCGCGTCCCTGCCTTCCCCACCCTTGCCCAAAGGGATACTCTGGGCTGTCTTAGGATAGCTTCTCTCTCATTGTAGGCCTGACTGAAGATGTGAGAGTTCCCTTTCTGGCAGGCAGTAGCTTCACTGAATACCTGTTCCGTCCTTGGAAGTGTTACATAAACAGTTGAGGGACAGGCCACCTACAGTCTTAATTAGACGGTTGACCTAATGCCCATGAAACTCCTGAGCAAAACAGAGTCGGTCTTAGTCATTTACAGGCATAACGTTGGACTTTCCACTGTTCCTGAGCATCTCTTGGAGTCTGTGGTATTGTGATTTCTCTGTGTGCCCTGGCCCACATTGAGTCCCACGTGCTGGGAGGCTGATGCGTAGAAGCAGCTCCTCTCACGGCTGGTAAGTGTGGTCAGGCTTCTTTCCTGAACTCTACTTGGTGATTCTCTGAGTCCTCATTTCCACATTTACAGAACAGAATAAGCTAGTTGTGTGTTCTGGGGCAGTGGGTTTCATATGACGCACTGTGTGTGCAGGAGGTTTAACAAGTTATCCCATGAAAAAAGGATGTGGTGGTTAAATCAGTTTGCCTTAACTGCACAGTCTCTCAAGACGTTTAATATGCAAGTGGCTTCTGATGCTTCCAGTTTGTTATGTGGCATTTCCACAACCTTCCTGGGTTGTGGAGGGACTAGGGTCCCAGAAAACAGACTTGGGAGAGCACTTTCTGTTGGATTTGCTACAGGTACCGTTTTTAGCTTATAAAGATCCAGGGGGAAGGGAGAGGTTTAAGAACTGATGTAATTAGAGGCTTGGGGAAGCAAACAAGCTGGCATCTCATGGCCTTTTCTCTGCATGGGTCTGGGCTCGGGTGTCTGCTAAGAGAAAGGCTGGGAGTGAGATGCACGGGTGTTTACAGGAGAGGAAACCTCCCAACAGTTGTGGAGAACTGGGAGTTTTTGTTTTTGTTTTAAGGTTTTATTTGAGAGCGAGCGTGCACACTAGCAGGGAGGGACAGAGGGAGAGGGACGAGCAGACTCCACGCTGAGCACAGAGCCCAACGTGGGGCTCAATCCCAGAACCCTGAGATATGACCAGAGCAGAAATCAGGAGTAGGACACTGAACTGACTGAGCCAGCCAAGGCACCCCGAGAATTGGGGGTTCATTTTATATATGTCAGTGCTGTATGTAGCTCTCTCTTTTATAGCTCTCACAGAAACTGAGTAAGGCACATAGCCTTAACCCTTGTTCAAGATCCTCGTTACTACTCTTGTTGAAACTAAGGTCGTTTGAGTAACTTGCCCAGCACCACAGAGCTAGTGGGTGAATTTAGACCCCGGTCCATCTGATCTAAGATCTGAGCTCTAAGCAGTGCAGCAGACACCATGTCCTGTTCCTACTGTGTAAACAATCCCTATGGTGCGGGGTACTTGGTTGGCCTGTGGGAAATCTCTACCCTCTTCTGATAGTTGACACAGGAGAATAAATGTGCACGTGAGTAAGGTTGCACTAGGGAGTGCAGGCCTGAAAATTCTGTGACAGGAAAGGGAGTCTGGACTGGTCCCTGTGTCCCGGCAGTCACCTGCCAGGCTGTGTTGGGCCCTCCTCTGCTGCAGACTTGGACTGCCCTCTCTCGTTGAGGCTAAAACTCAGCCTGGTCTGGTCCCGCTGCAGGCTGTCATGCATACTGCTTTCCTCCCTTTCAGCCTTTGTTCAGGTGAGGACACCCAGGAAGAAGGGGGTGAGTCACTTGCCCCAGGTTGCTCAGGAGTGAGGAAGCTAGCAGCAGCTCAGGGCCTGAGCGCATTCTGCTGGGCCTGTAGGTAGGTGCCACAAGGGCAGGGCTTGTCTCAGTCGCTCCCTGTGGCAGCAACAGCAAACCTAGTCCTGGACACAGCGAGTGCTCAGGCTGACTCCGAGGCGGGATTGCCCTCCTGCAGGGCCCTTGTTTCTCTGTGCGGCCTGACATGATCCTCTCTCCTCAGCACGGCCCCCCAGGTGTTGAATACCAGCTCTCCAGCGCAGCAGGCAGAAAACGAAGCCAAAGCCAGCTCTTCTGTCTCAATCGACGAGTCCCAGCCCACCACAAACATCCAGATTCGGCTCGCCGACGGCGGGAGGCTGGTGCAGAAGTTCAACCACAGCCACAGGTGCCTTGCGCCATCTGGCCTCGCTTAATTCTGGGAGGGCCCCCTAAACACCAGCAGGCACGCCATGCTGTCCCCGAAGGAGGCAGTGGGATGGGAAGGTCTGCAGGTCTGAAGCCTTTGGTTCTAGTCCCTGCTCTTGCATTAAGTGTGGCCAGTAACTGCTCACTTCCCTGCTCTGGGTCTCATTTCTCACCTGTAAAATTAGGGGATTGGAATTCTCAGGGTCTTTTTAGCACCCACACACAGTATTTGTTCACAGGAAATTTCATGGTAAAGTCCAGGTGCAGAAGAATAAAATCTGAACTGGCGTGGTTGATGGAGGGGGAGGGGGGCACAGTGCCGGCATCCCCTCCAACTGGCTTCCTCCACCCAGCCCCCTCCAGGGGGTCTCTCAAAACCACTGGGCTGTGAAAGTCTCTTCTAGATCTGCCCTTTGAGAATACTAGAATACCTGCTCTACTGTTTCAGATCATCTGGGCTGGATCAAAGCTAACTGTGCCAACCCCATTTTAAAGATGGGGAAACTGAGGCACGGAGAGATTGAAGAGATTAGCAGGGGAGGACTGTTACTGGTATTATAGGTATTTGGCAACTCCTTTTTCTAGAATAGCAGTATCTAAATTTCATCAGTCACAGGCCAACTAAACTGGAAGCACATGTGGGGCCTAGGGAATGTCTTGACAGTCCTTGAGTGCTGACAGGGGTGTCATATGGGCTAAGTTGTGAAACGAGTGTGATTAGGATTACAGGAGCTGGGTCAGGCAGGGGAGCCCCTAGGAGGAGGGACCCCAGTGTGGGCAGAAAGCCCAGCATGATGAAAATCTAGGAGGAGGAAGATAGAGAACAAGGGGAAGGAGGGTGGTGTCAAAGTAGGTAGGGCTTGGGATCACAGTAAGGCGGTTGGTGTTTATCCCAAGAGATGGCGAGCAGCTGTGAAGGTTTTTAGGCAAGGGAATGACATGATCTGATGTGCTTCCAAATGAGTGTTTTGGCTGCCCTGTGGAAAAGGGTGGCCAGGGGTCGTGGACAGCAGAGAAGGGCCCTGCTTACCCACCTCCCCACTCACCCCCACTCCACCAGGATCAGCGACATCCGACTCTTCATCGTGGACGCCCGGCCGGCCATGGCTGCCACCAGCTTTGTCCTCATGACTACCTTCCCGAACAAAGAGCTGGCTGACGAGAGCCAGACCCTGAAGGAAGCCAACCTGCTCAACGCTGTCATCGTGCAGCGGTTAACATAACCGCCTGCCTGGCCGGCAGCCTCATCTCCCTCCTGCGTCTCCCATGGCCAGCTGCCCCATGGGGACCACCCCTCCCACCCCCTCCCACACACCCAGCAGTCCAGTGCCACGTCTCCTCCGTAGCTCTGGGTTCTTAGATCTCGGTTGGACGTTTGTTTTCTCCTTAGTTGCATTTCCTGGGTTTTTGTGACGATCAATGGACTTTAAAGAAAAAAATAAAAATAACCAAAAAAATTGAAGGACTATCACCAGCATGTTGTACCGGAACCTCTCCCGCTGAAGCCAGCTTTGATTGCTTTAAAATCACATTAATTTCCAGGGGGTGTGGGGAGGAACCTCCCTTCCATCATCTCTGCTTAAAACTTGCTTGTGGCCCACAACACGCATCCACTAGTGTCCACCCACCATCCCTGAGATGACTAGTGGAGGGTTTCCCCCTTTGTTGGGAAGGGAGTCAGGCACTTGAAGAAAGAGGCTTTGTAGCCACCTCCTCCCACAAGAACAAACCTCTTAACTGGATCAGACAGCAACAGCAGGAGTGCCTGAAGCGTGAGGTCAGGTCTAGATGCACACGAGCCCTTCAAGTGAAAGTAAATACTTCCCTGTGCTCCTTTCACTCAAACTCTGGGAAATTCGAGCTCCCTGGGCCTGGGCCAGTTGGGATTCTGATGACACCCGCCTGCCCCAGCCCTTTCCTCCCTCATCTGGGCTACTCGCACCCTGATATTCTCAGCCGCTCTGCCATTGCCTTATTTACTCCAAGTGCAGAGATCTGTACCTGGGAGACAGACAGGGTGTCTCCTCATTGGGAAGCAGCTCCTGCCAGCCCAAATGAGGGCAGAGTAGGGCATCTTGGCCTAGAAGAGGAGCGGAATTGAGATGTCCCTGAGCTGTCCACTCACTGTGCGGGGCAAATCAAATGGTGAAGGAGAGGTGGGTTCCCTGTGCCACAAGCCGCTTCCACTGTGTGAGCGTTTGCAAGAGGCTCCTGCTGAGTCTGTTTTGAGGGCGAGTGCAGTGTCCACAGCTCTAGTGTGCAGGTCCTGGCGCAGTTCTCTGTCCTGCTGCCTTCCGACTGGCAGCAGCCCCAGCAGGAGCTCCCCCTGATAGAGGCCTCCCCCTAGAAGCGTGCTTCCTGTGCGAGTTTGGCAGAGGAGGATCACAGGGGTCTTGGATAGAAGTCCTTCCACCACCCTATCAGCTGAACCACAGACTCCAAATCAGCACTGACTCAGAGTCTCCTGGTTTTGAATCATAATAATGTGCCTCAGCCCTCTTCCCAGGCACTCCTCACCACACACTTTCTCTTTCGTGCTTCACCCCTGCAGCGAGACAAGAATATTGCGTCTCCCCAGAGCTAGGGAAGGGCTTGGGCTTTCACCCGGTACCCATCCCAAGAAAGGGATGTGGCTTGGTGTGTCTGACCCCCAACTGGTCGGGGCCTGCCAGGGCAGGGTCCACGGCGTGTCTGGCAGGCAGAGGTGACCATGGAAACTAAATGCGGGTCTGGAAAAACTTTGTGAATTGTTGTCACCTTGACCATTAAAAACCAGAATGAGGACAACAGAGTTTTGTACTTTTTAATGGGTTGCTCTGAAGGACTGTAATAACAGTAGCTACTACAGCGCAAAACCTAAAGCCCAGGTCACAGCTGGTAAGTGGCAAGGTACTGTCTGCTTCCAAGGCTCATGCCCTTCACCGCTGTGGCCTGTATCTGTATACACCCCAAGCCCCGGCCCTGTATGCGTACACTCCGCTTACGTTAATTCTGCTTACATTAATTAGTACATACCCAGAGAGATCATCAAAACACCGCGTAGAACCTGCATCATCTGGAAGAATTTACAAAGGGCTCTTCACATTCCCACCTAGCCCAGGGAAGTGGGTGAGGCAGCTAATCTAACTGTTGCAGCCACCACAGTTCAGACGAACTGGGTGTCTAGTCCAAGGTCAGATGGATTGCCAGCCACCTAGCCAGAGATCACACTGGTCTGGATCCAGGCCAGGCCAGGCCAGGATGTTTTTAGCCCTAGCTTTCTGTTCTGGGTGGCTCAGATGGAAAAGCCCCATCACAGGTTTTTTTTAAAGATTACAACCACTGCTTCTGGGGCGTCTGAACTCAGGGCAGTTCTCAACTAGACATTCCATTCATCTGGGGGGAGGATTTTGAGTCATCCCCAAAATTGGGTGGTTGGTAAGGGAACCTCCTGGCATTGCATGGGCCAAGGATATGTTGCAAAACATGGGACCTGTCCTGATGGAACGATATTTAAAATTCAGCGCTGAGTGAAAAACACAAGTTAACTGTGATGATGATGCCTCACCAAGTTCAGTTTAAACTGTTCTCTACCGTGCAACATGTGTATTGTTTCAGTTTGGTCTTGCAAACTCCACCATGCCAAACCCTGTAGGTACGGTTTGGGATACATCTGGTCGCTTCCTCAGAAGGTGACCACGAGAGGAAGCAAGCATGTGGGGCGGAAGCCGGGCATAGCTCTATGGCTTTGGATGGCATTGCCAAAGTGCCCTCCAGGGCAGCAACGTCCCTTTCCATGCCCACCAGGAGCCCCTTAAAGCTGACTTGGAGCTCACTGAGGAAAGCAGCTGGTGCAGAAAGGTGGGTTCACTGCTTTGCACCCTCTGCCCTAGCCACCAGCATGTTCAGAGGGGACTGCTTCAGGACTTCTCCCTCCCAGGGCCAAATAAAGGGAGGTCTTCTTTAAATGTGTTTTGCTCCTGTTCCTGGACGTTAGCTGTGGCCTCCCCACCTTCTTTCTGGGTCCACTCTTCTCGGGCCAGGACTGGGAAGCAGAGCAGATACCAAGCTGTTGACTTCTGCTGTCCAGCCTGTTCCCCGGCTGAGCAGCTCATGCACCTGTGACCTCTCTCTCTCCCCCGTCCCCATGGCCCCGAGCCTCACCCCACATCCAGTCCATCAGCAAGTCCTCTGGGCTCAGCTGCGCATGCATCCCAGATCAAGCCATTGTCCCTCCCCTGGGGTCTCCCAGCCCAGCCTCCATCATCTCGCCGGGAACAACTGCACTGACCTCACTGATCCCTGCTTCTGCCCTTGCCCCAGCAGTCTGTTCACAAACAGGCACCACACCCATCGCTTCCTTCAAAGCCCTCATGCGTCGTCCCGTCCTCCCCCCGCCCCCCCCCCGCCCCACTTACTGCTGGAAACTGCTCAC